GAGAGCTCTGGGACCTTTTCATACACACAGAGCTCTCCTCATGCTGTTGTCCTAAAGGACAATATCTTTTTTTCTGCCCGAACCCTGGACCCTCAGGATTAAAAGTCTGATGCTCTACCGACTGAGCTATCTCCTCTGTATGTGTAAAGTGGTACTTGAATCTAATTAAAATAAAAATTGACGTTATACTGATTAGGAAGGGGTTATATCAATAGGTCAATATCAATAGTGGTAGGGGTATCTTTGCTCTCGACAAACTTTTTTTTTTTTTTCGCATCATCTACCAGGAATTTATTTATTTCTTTTTCTAATATTAAATAATATTTAACACGAAATTTCGTTCGATTACATTTTTCTAACGTGTGATGTTTTTTTAAGTTTGAAGCATTGCGGCTTTCCTAGAACAAGTGCAACACACAAGAGTTAACGGCACGTTAGTGTTTGATCTCTGGAAAAATAACATCCGCCATGTTTTTTTAAATTTTCGTATAAAATCAATAAGAAGAATCTAGTTTAAGCGAATTACCTTGAATTACGTGACTTGAGAAATTTCTTCTTCTGAAATTCTTGCCTGTTCAGATATACTATTATACGTCGCGTCGTACGCCAAATGCATGTGTTTATAAAATTATAAAAAGAGACAGTGCAAAGGGTTAATTGGTAGATAAAGTATCAGTTTTTAACCCCTCGCGACTGGCAACTGGTTGACGGACCATAACGAGTGACCAAACCTGTGGCTCACGGACCATAACGAGTGACCAAACCGTATACAACTTTTTGAGTTGGTCGCTGTGATATCTACTGGGTAAATTAGGGGAAAATTATTAAGTAATAAGTTTGTTATTTGTTTCGCCTTTTTTGGGTTATATTTGAATATACTCAAAAAACTGAGAAAACATTGCAATTTCGGGACAAAAAAATTCTCGATTCACACTCCAGCGTAAGAGGTTAACACGTTGAATACAGCGCGGAAGGTATGTGATTTGAATGTTTTCTTCTCCCTCGCCCGCGAGCATGACGTCATCGTGTACGGGGTCATTTGCGCGCGAAGGGGGTCCCCGTCACTGAAGTACGTATTTAAAGAACGGAAGTACGGTTGCAAGCGAAGTACATGCGTGATCCGCGTATGAGCTGCGAATCCTAACCTCAATCCCAATCAGCTCAGATATGTTTCCATTCTCAGGACGTTGTGAATCGCGATGTTGTTATTTTGTTGTTTTCAAAGGCATCATCGAACGCGCCAGAAGAACCCTTGGATTTGAATATTACAAGACTGAAGACTGTTGGTTTACTGCGGAGAATGAGTCATCATAGTAGTAGAGCTTTAAAATAATCTGCTGTTTTATTATACAGAGCGTGGGAACATGTCTCGAGAGGCATAAACGTATGTTCTCAGAAAGGAAAAAAATTTATCATCTTATCACACGTGAACTTACTTTACATGTGATACCATCTTAATTTCATCGTCAATTTTTCTCTAACGGCCTAATTTCGCAAATCGATCGAGAGACCAATCAATTGGATCAGCCGAACCTGAAAGTTTAAAGAAACGGGGTGATCCTGAAACCGAGACACTCCCTTAAACTGCAGTCGTATTTTCGCCCCCGTATTTGAAACCAACTTGTCTAAAAATATCGTTTCACAGTTGCGTGGGCGAAACCCCTTCGGCAGGGTTGAGGAGAGGGTGCAGTATTTCAAGGAAAAGGGATGAAACGCGACGCGTGAATGGTAATTGATAATTCTCTCGTTACTGTTGATCGATAATTGCCTGATCCTTTGTTCGTTTAATCATTCTTCTATGTTAATTGGAAGAATTAATATTTTTAAGAATCCCTCCTTTTCTCTCAATTTTCAACGAGAATTTTCGAAGCACTTTGATCGTCTACGTTTTCGAGATACTTCTGGATTATATCCAAGATGTAAATTTTTATTTTTAGATGAAAAATGGGTTAGATGGAAGGCATGAACTTCCGATGAAATATTCGCATTCAGAGAAATATCTTTTGTATTTTTTTTTCCCTTTTTCTTTTTCGAATGTTGTTTGGTGAATATAGCCGTTATAAAGTTTGGGTCTTCTTTTTTTTTAAATTTGGAGTTTTTTAAATTTAAAAGTATCGCCACTTTTTTCAATGCTGCGCAACCTTGAATTTTTCTAACTAATTGTTACCTGAGTTACAAACTCTCTAGTTTCCTATCTCACGGATGGTATCCTCGTGTCCTCTATTTAGACAAACATTTGTTTTATCCATTCGTTCTTGTTTGCAGAGATTCGAAACGGAGAATCGGGGCGAATCGTGCTCCGGTTCGAAAAAAAAAAAAA